TCTTTAGGCATGGCGCTTAGGGATATAGTTTAGTGGTGGTTTTGGCAGTGTTAGGTTAATGGTTGGACTCAATGATCTTAAAGGTCTTTTCCAACCTAAATGATTCTATGATTCTGTTCTGTGATCTCACAATTGGACAACTTGTCCAGACGGATGCTGTGAGGGACAGTATCAAATGACTTACTAAAAATCCAGAAAAACTACATCCACCGCCTTCTCTTCACCACTCGGCGGGTGACCTTATCAGAGAAGGATATGAAATTAGTTAAACAGGACTTTCCCTTTGTGAACCCATGTTGACTGTGCCTGATGATTCCATTGTTCTTTAAATGCCTATAAGTAGTACTCATTATAATCTTCATAATTTTTCCAGGAACTGAGGTTAGACTAACAGGTCTGTAGTTTCCTGGGTCTTCCCTCTCACCCTTCTTGGAATAACATTGGCTAGGTTTCAGTCAGCAGGCACCTACCCAGACTCCCAAGACCTTTGGTAGATGATTGAGAGGGGTCCTGCCATAACATCTGCTAGCTCCTTCAGTACTCTGGGATGAATCCCATCAGGCCCCATGGACTTGTGAACATTCAGCTGACACAGCTGGTCCTTACAATTTCACTGTCCACAAATGGAAAGTCACTGTTTCCACACCCGTGGTCTTCTGACTCAGGGACCAGGCAGCCCAAGGTCTGTCAGTATTATTAAAGACTGAGGCAAAAAAAGCATTGAATGCCTCTGCTTTTTCTTCATCCCTATTAGTCAGATGGCCATCTTCAACAAGTATCGGTCCAATGTTTTCTTTAGACCTCCTCTTCCTATTAACCTATTTTAAAAGCCCTTCTTGTTGTCTGACACAACGCTGGCCAGTTTCAACTCTAATTGAGCTTTGGCCTTTTGTGTCTTCTCCCTGCATATTCGAACCACAGCTCTGTAATCTTCCTGTGAAGCCTGTCCTTGCTTCCAGAGATTGTACAATTTCTTTTTCCTCTTGAGCTGCACAATGCAATTGTCAGTTTCCAAACCTATCCTACCTAGAGACAGGGGTAGCATCTAAGAAGGGTCTAATTGCTAAGCAGCTTGTTTGTATGGTGAGTATTGAATTTAAGCTTATCTAAGTCCTCTTGTAGTTTGTATTTTTGTGGAGGAATGTTCTTTGTTGTGCATTAGGGCCAGGATGTGGAGCATCAGTGCTTAGTCTCAAGATTTGTGTTGAGCACAGGCACATCAGTACTCATTCTCTCTTTTTCATTAAAGATAAAGTGAAATCTTTCCGGGCAGCTCTACAAGAGGAGGAACAGGCCAGTAAACAGATCAACCCGAAAAGACAACGTGCCCTTTGAAATGGGCCTCTGCTGCTAAAGGAATCCATGTACCCATACTGCTGTAGCTCACATTTGTTACAAAACCCAGTGGCTGTAAGAACTCTACTTGAAAGTGTGAAAACGTTAGAAATGTCTGTGGAAATGTCCTGTTTCTTATTCACCTGAATGACATTTTTAGTTTTGTTTGAAATGCTCCTATGATGTCTACTAAATGCTTCTAGACTAGACAGTACAACCATGCAGGGTTCAGATCTACGAAGCACTTTGTTTAAAATATTTCTTTTATTCAAATTGTGAATGTTATGTTTGGAAATATTTGCCATGTTTTTAATAATGAAGTAAAACTGTGGCCATTAAGAAGTCACAGTATTTCCTTTTGACTATGTTCAGTTTTGTTACAAAGACCAGCTGTGCAGTTTTAAATTGTGTTTGCGTGCATGCACACCTCACTAGTGGTTGTACATAACTTCTCTTCTACAGACAGCTGTGCTTACCTCTTCCCATTCTGTGCCTTGATGAAGGCTACTTAACCCTAAACATCCTCTTTGTGAAGCACAGCTTTAATAAACAACATTCCTTATTTGTCAATATAAATTACTTTTAGCGTGTGTACATTTTTAATGTGTTTTGAGACTTTTATTTTTTTTTGGTGGCTAGTTTTATTTCACAGGATGTGCCATATCATTTGAATAGGAACCGCAAGAGCTGTTAGAGCGGATGAAGAGCTGGACATTCCATCCTCCTTGTAAAAATCTGGAATCTAGATTTATTTGAATACCATAAAGAGTGTTTATATAAATCTAACATTTTCTCTGTAATTAAAAAAAAACCACAACAAAACAAACAAAAAACCCCCCCCCAAAAATATAAATTAGTTGATGTATAATAAAGGGTAATGTTTAAGTAATGAGGAGAGTTGTATCTTAGGATAATGCAGATATACAATATGTGGTATGGTGTCAGAATAAAGGTACAGTCTGACCTCTGCATATGGATAGGCTAACTGTCAAAATTCAGGGATCTGGCTAAAGAAATACATATTGGCCTTTCACATGTTGTTAAACTTTGGGTTTTGATGCATGACAAGCTTACATGTACATTAACTGTAGTTTGCAGACAGTTTAAGTAGCTCTGATGCTTTAAAAAAAGTACCTAATATCTATTTTTCCCTTTGTACAGTGCCAGCAGCTGAAAAGTGAGGTGAAATTGCATCATTTGAGGATTTGCACAATACCTCTACCTAGCACTAATAGAAATCCCACAAGTACCTGAATTCTCACAAATGGCACCATGTGTATCAGCACTTTTTAGGCGGTAGCACTCAGGTAATTTTTGCAAGTCACTATCCAAAAAAGATTGACCTTTCACGCAAGAACTTCTTGTCAAATGAAGAATTGTAGACCTGTCTAGGAGTTCTCCCTGTTTCCAGGAGTTCATATCAGCAGCCTTTCCCTTGGAACTGTTTAAAAATTACTTTTGTAATACAAGCCTGTTTGTTTGTGCCAGGCCTGGAGAGAAATAAAGGGAAGGCAATGAAAAGAGAAAGAAAATGAGCCAGGAATTCTTGTAGTGTTTAATATTTGTATCTCCCATAGGAAGGTAGACTATGGGAAACTCTTGTCACATCATGGTTAAAAAATAAAAAAAATCCTCCTGTGTGTAAACATGAAAACTGAAACAACAATTTAGATTTTACATACTGTGTTTAATAAATTAAGCTATTAAATGAATTACAGATGAGAATTTACTTCTATGAAAGTTCTGTTCTGTTTTTGGGAAGGGTTTCATTTTGTAAACACATCTGAGTTATACTTTTCAAAAGGCCTCTGATTTGAGAATGAGTATTTACTTCTGGAACTAACTATTCTGTACAAATTTGTCATATAGGAAGAAGTTCCCCAGAGGACTGTCCTGACAAGTTTTGCAACAGGTCTTAAAAGAAACATCACACATCTTTCTGAACATTTAAGAATATCTTCCATCACAGTTAAAAGAAAAAAAAAAACACACAACAATGAAATAGAAGGCAGCAGCTTTTGTTAGTAGGCAATAGTACAGGTTATTGTATAATACTAGAGGGTTTCTTTGAAGTTGTTCTAGAGAAGTCTTATTTTCTCAAGAGCCTCTAAAGAGTGAGACATCCTACATGAGAAACAGTGGCTTACCTACTATTTCTCCATACAAGCCTAGAGGCACAAGCAGGATATGGTTTATAGGGATACCAAAGAGGACAGGAAGGACAGAGGTAGTTAGATTTCAGCACCTTTTAATAAGCCTTGTAAATGAAATGTCCTGTCAGGTAGCAGATGCAAGTTGAAATTTCATCAACGGGGTGTGTGTGTGGGTGGGTGTGTGTGTTAAGAGACAGCCTTTGCTATAGAGCCTGCTGTAAAGATCAGATCTACACCGATACTGAATCAGTGAGAATCAAGATTAAAAAAACGGGATACAGCTGGTTACAGCACTTGAATTCCTATAACCCATTGCTATGATGGACTGGAATTACTTGAATAGGACTCAGACAAGCTTATCTTGATTCCTGTCCTGTAAAACAAAAGCATTTAAGATGTGTGACACAAACCTCCAACACTTATTCCTTCTGTATTGGTCTGTGCATATTGCTGTGGCTACTTATACTCACTCATAAATTGGTTCTATATGCAGTGAAGCAACACTAGAATAACTAAATTTTAAAATAAATGAGCAATTCAGTTTTCCAAGACAATCTCTCAGGATGCCTGCAAATTCAAGTACATGTTTCTGTACATTTTTTTTAATGACTTTTAAAGTATTGACATTGGACGTGTATAAAATGAAGTTATATATTAAGAGGTGTTTTTGCTAATTTGCCTCTTCTCCACTTACTGTGGTCTGATGGAAAGAAATATGCTATACATGAAAAAAATGACTTATGGTAGTTAATGCATAGAGTCAGGCCTTCACCCGTACATGATGCTACAGAGTTAACAGCTACTGTTTTCCTGAATCATAAGACAAATCAAAGTGGATTTTTCTTTTGACAGCTGCTATGCAGAGTTAATGCAAACCGGAGAAAAAATTCTGCCTTGTCCTTAATAACAAATATATATAATCCAAACTATATTAAGACACTTCAGTAAGTCTTTTGTCCTGTTTTCAGTTGGGATAGAGTTAATTTTCTTCCTAGTAGTTGCTGTGTTTTGGATCTAAGTATGAGAATAATATTGATAACACATTGTTTTAGTTGTTGCTAAGTAATGCTTACATTAAGTCAAGGACTTTTTCAGCTTCCCATAGAAGCTGAGAGGGAGCATAGACAGGACAAGTTGGCCAAATGAATATTCCATACCATAGACGTCATGCTCAGTATATAAATGAGGGTTTGCTGGGGGACAGGAATCCACGATCGCTGCTCAGGACAGGCTGGGCAACTGGTCATCAAGTGGTGAGCAATTGTATTGCATCACTTTTTTTTGTATATTCTTTTACCATTATTATTATTTTCTCTTCCATTACTGTTTTATTAAACTGTCTTTATCTCAACCCACCAGGGGTTGTTTGTTCTTTCCTTTTTCTCCCTCTTCTCCCTGTCCTACTGGAGTGAACAGCTGCATGGTCCTAGTTGCTGGCTGAGGTTAAACCACAACAGTCCTTTTTGGCACCCCCTCTTCTCCTGTCCTACTGGAGTGAACAGCTGCATGGTCCTAGTTGCTGGCTGAGGTTAAACCACAACAGTCCTTTTTGGCACCCGATGTGGGGCTCAAAGGGTTCAAGATAACAACACACCCGATTGGAATGTGCTAGATCAAATCTATAGCTGTTATTGCTGTTTAGCTATTGACAGGCTTCTGTCCTTGCCATGGGGCTTGCTTGCCTTACTGTATATTAGTGTCTAGTGCTCATTAGTGGCTGCTTTTTGCTTTCGCTGCTTGCTGTACTGCTTATCATCTTATTCTGCTGTGCCTGGGAACAGCAGTGGTGATGTGCCTGGGCTGGCAGATGGCCAGGGCATTGCTGCTGTTTCTGCACTGCTCTACTAGACAGGCTGGAACTCCAGTGTGAACTCAAGTCAAAACAACTCTGCCAACACCAAGGTCAGTGAAGAAGGAGGGGGAGGAGGTGCTCCAGGCGCCAGAGCAGAGATTCCCCTGCAGCCTGTGGGGAAGACCATGGTGAGGCAGGCTGTCCTCCTGCAGCCCATGGAGATCCACGGCGGAGCAGATATCCACCTGCAGCCCATGGAGGACCCCACACCAGAGCAGGTGGATGCCCGAAGGACTTGCACCCTGTGGAAGGGACCCACACTGGAGCAGTTTGTGAAGAACTTCAGCCCATGGGAAGGACCCACATTGGAGAAGCTCATAGAGGACTGTCTCCCATGGGAGGGACCCTATGCTGGAGCAGGGGAAGAGTGGGAGAAGTCCTCCCTCTGAGGAAGGAGTGGCAGAAACAACATGTGATGAACTGACCGCAACCCCCATTCCCTGCGCCACTTAGCAGGGTGGAAGAGGTAGAGAATTCAGGAGTAAAGTTAAACCCAGGATTTGGGTTACACGTTATGGGGATTACTATAGCAGGAACCCCTTGTTGCTAGCCAGGCTAGGAGTAAGGGGAGGAGTTCATTGCAATGTTAAAGCCTATAACCTGGCCCAAAGGGACCAGGGGTGGAGATTGTAATACCTTTAAATTGTAACCTATGATTTGAGTTGCATGTTGTGGGAATTACTATAGCAGGAAACACCTGAACCAATGGAGGACAAGCCTTACAACAAGCAGTGCAAGTGCAGCAGTGACTGGGCTTTGGTGCCCAGTTACTCCATGCAACCCAGCACCTCTCCTGTCCTGAGTGACCACCATAACACATGGAGCCCAAAGTCATGGACTAAATGAACTCAATAGACATTTTGTGGACATTTTACAGACACTGATCATCAGGTGGTGAGCAATTGTATTGCATCACTTTTTTTTTGTATATTCTTTTACCTTTATTATTATTTTCCCTCCTGTTACTGTTCTATTAAACTATCTTTATCTCAACC